CATAAATCTGGAGATAAATATATTTATTTTTAACTTACTGTAAATACAGTAACTGTTAGTTATCATCACCTCATAGCAAAGGTGTGACACTAAAACATTATTTTAAAAAATTAAGACATTGAAATTAATAAATTAAAACTGGTTTGTCAATATAATAATGAGGTTTACATTCATTTTAATTAAAGCATTGAAACAAAGAGATGAAAAAATTATACTGATACAGTATGCAGATACTTTAACCAAATATAATTGATTACGTACTAAAATATGTTATTTTACGATACAGTACATTTTATATTTTTAAAACCTATAGAAAAATTGTTATGAAGTTTTTATTTTACTTTAATGTTACTTAATATTTTAATATTACAGTACAATAACATAAATAAATGTAATAACACTGAAATTATAGTGAAATAACAGTGAAATTACTATTGCATTCAAAGTATATTTTTCCCATAAATTAAGAATTCCTTTTTTGTCACAAAAGGTATTTTAATATTTTCCCATTTATTTTTAAATAATTTATTTGTCAAATTGTGATAATAGTACTTTAATTGAACACTTTTTGTACCAAATAATCTTGAAATTTTGGTACAAAAAGTATTTAATTAATGTGCGATTATTCATTAATTTGTATTTTCCTTAAATTATATCTATTTAAGTCTTATTCTACAGATAATTATAAATTAAAATTTCCTTTCAATTTTAAAAATTAGTGTAAATTTAATTTATATACAGCATAATAGTAAAATTATTGATAACTTAACAAAAGTCAACTAAAGGAATTGAAATATTTGTAATTTATTTTACGAACCAATGATGGCATTAGTTCTCCGAGAAAATAAAGTATTTTATTTCCAGAAAGAGTTTCAATTGGATTACTGAAACATAATGTAGATTCGCATAATGTATTCTAACTCTATTGTAATAGGAGTTTGCATCATTTTGCTATTTTTCATTATATATTTAAATCTCATTATTCACAAAGCCTGCATTCAAGTCAAATCTTTTATAGAAAAATTGCTTCAAAGTAATGTACAATAATCCCTTCGGGAATACAGCAAACATATTACATAAGGGTTATAATAGCATATTCCGTAGAATATAGAATACAGTATATACTGTTTGGTATGTTTACGGTTACGTGTATTTAGGTTCAGGTAATTTAGTGCCAACATATCATTCAATTAAATGACTGCCAAAATTTGAAGTGTTTTCTTACATAACAAGAACTCGGCATCAAATTGAAGTCTTTTTTGCTTCAATCACATTCATTATTGATGTTACAGTAACTTACAGTACATGAATAGCCAGTGAATTGAAGATCTAATTGGTTGATAAATTTATCCACATATTCATTGACTTATTCATTTATATTAAAAGTATTCATATAATTAAATGTTTCTAAAATCTTTTAGTATATTTAATCGCATTAAAATTTAATATTGTTGGAATATTAAATATATATATTTTAAAATTGATTTTAACTTATATGCATATAAATTAAATGTACTTTTAACAAAATTGGATGAATTCTGAGAAATTATTTTTAGATAACATTTCATAAAAATCATTATTTTTATCAAAATCTCATTTTATATTTTATTTTATTTAGTTTTAGATTCATTTTTTAATTTACCAACTATAATTTTTGTGTTATATTAAATATAATAAATAACTTTTACTTTGTTAATTATTTCAATTGTTTGGTTATATTCATCTACTTATTAATAACTTTTCAATTTGTCTACTTTCTTATCTCTAATTGATTTGTCATAAACTCACTTTTCAGACAAATACTCACTTTTGGAAATTTAATTACAAAAGTAATATTTGTTTTCTATATTTGTGTAAATATGTTTTATATTTCCAAATTCTATAAATAACTTTTTTCTCGTTTGAATAGATCTATCAATTTTTTGCTTTCTTAGAAAAATGTATACATGTACTATATATGTTCAATTTATATTTTCATGTTGTCATGTCATTTATATAATTCATAATGTGTGTTTGTAATATGTATTTTTGAAAAATTAATAGTTCACAAATCAAGTTTCTAAGGTAAAAACGGAAAAAATTAATTAAAATGTTTATTAAAATTGAAAATGTGATGATTATTACCAGTAAAAAGAAATGAATACTAGAATAGGAGAATAACAGGATTTTGATATGAAATAGTCTTCACTGAGTTTTAGGAGCAAAAGTATATGACTTTCATTCTGATGCTATTCTCAGCTCAGAGGGACTGACAGGACTTGCGTCAGGAATTACGTGAGCGACTCAATCGATACGAGTATTCAATGAAAATAAAAGGTCTAAAATGAATATATTTTTCTTTTAAAGACATATAACCAGTGAATATAAAGTGTTGTAAAAGTTGCCGAATATAGAGAAAATGTCAAAATCCATGCCTATTGTCAAACATTTCAGCATTGAATTAGATAAGACACAACACGTCTACAAAGCCGGGGAACCGGTCAAAGGGAAGTGTCATTTGAATATTGAGGGAAGCGTTCAATTGAAGAATTTAGACATCAATTTGATTTGCGATGGATATGTCGACTGCAAAGAGACGTAAATTTGCTATTTTGTCCATTATTTTGCAAATATTGCTATTTTTCTATTCATATGTGGCTTTAAATTATTCAATTTATTTTTTGCATAGAAATGGCAAATCTGATAAGAAAACAATGTCTGCTATCATCGATAAATACGATCTTCTCAAGAGATGTAAGTTTCATATATACACTATATATACTATATATACTATACATCCAGTATATTGTATATCCAGTACCAATTCTAATTTAAACTATTCTGCAAACTATTCTGTATTCCTTTAGTGATTAACATATTTTTTCTATATTATTAATGCATAAAACATAATCCCTTATTTAATGCAAATATTGCATAAATCCCCTCATTTATAATATGAACATTTCATAGACATTTAATTTTGTGTTATAGCGGCAACCGATCAAACACTGGAAGGTCTAATATCTGTCGAGTTTTACTTTTGCATACCTGAGTACGTCTAATGATTTTCTAATATTATTTCTAATTAATATGCAAATGAATAACCAATTAATTTTTAATATTTATTCACAAATTTTGTTTTTATTTTTAATTTATAAATTTTTCTTATTAAATATTAAATCTTATAAGTCTTATTAAATCTTAACTAAAGATTGCAAAAGTTATAATTAGATTTAAATACAATTTATTAACAATCAATTAAAAGCTAATAACATATTTTATAGTTTAGCTCTGATTTCTTAGCAACAATGCACACAAATCAAAGAATTCAATGTTAAGGAAGTCTTAGAATATTAAATGTTATGCTATTTTGTATTCTGTTTTATGACTTCAGTTATGTTCAGAATAACCAGAATATAATAGTTATTTTCACTATTTTAAATATATTCAAAGAAATATATATATAATATATATCAATATTATATATCGATATTATATATATATTAATTTTTTGATTGAAATGAAAAACATCTTAAAAATTTAAATTGATTTAAAACATACATTTCCAAAGAATTAAGAATCCATATATTAAAATTTTATAAACACTTATTGAAGTTTTAAAAATTATTTTTTTTATAAAACTACCTTTATTTTTAAAAATATTTATTATTATAAATTTATAAATAAAAAATTAATAGACTTAATTAGAATTACACATAACTTTAAATCATTGATATGTAAATTAATATATTATTTATATAAAGTGTGCAAAGATTAAATGTAGCTCAGAAATTATCTATTATGTTTAATCTATAAAAATATTATTTATTTATTTAATTTCTTATTGTGTCTTTAGTTATAATATTATTATTCAATTATAAAACAACTACTTTAATTTTATAACTATTTACAGTATTTTTTATCATATTACAATACAACACAAGAGTCTTAAACTACTTATCACTTATTAATACTAATTACTTGAGAATCACTAAAATAAACTACTTTATTTAGAAACTAATCATATTTAATATATTTTTTAAAATGTTTTTAAATAATTTGAAGTATATTTTCTGACATTTAATTTACTAATTTATAATTCATTTATAGAAAAAAATTTAAAGCAAATGTACGAATTAAAACAATCTATTTAAAAAATATTCTCCAGGTTTATATTTAACTAAAATAATTTTGTTGATTTATAAATTTTTCATTTATAGAGTATTAATAATTTAATATTTACTTTAAATTCAAAATATTTGTCATTGTAAATTCTAATTTCATATTATACAAATGCACACAAATACAGAGCTTATTAATTATTAACTAAAAATAGTGTTAAAAATAGCAAAGATGCGTGAATAATAAAATATAAATGATTTATTTGTGACTAAGGAAAGAGTGCCCCTCATCATTTAGCGGTAAATTTGGTTTCATCCGCTATAAAATAGAAGCCATACTTCACAAAGACTGGGATATATTTCGGAAGGAAGTGATGCTGACTGTCACGACACCATATA